GAGGGGAATCGATACCCCCAGGGGGGGGAACCGATTCCCCCATAATGAAAAAAAAAGAAGAAAAAATAGAGACTAAACTATTAATCCCTTAAATTGGTAGGATATTAGAGGTTAATTTCAAGACTTGGGCATCTGATAATTATCTTGAAAATTATGCTTATGTAGTTATTGAACGTGACTTTGCTTCAAAGTAAACGAAGGGTTAGAATTGATTCAATTCAAACAAGGCTAAGGTGAGTGCATGTGCATAACAGGATTATGTTAGTATATTCAGTTTTAGAACTGCGATAAGTCTAGATTTAATATCTTGATACATGATTCATTCAATATTATTAAATATGATATGAATTCATACCATATACATTATGGGATATACTATGCAGATTGTGGGAAGTCTATGTTCCATATTAGAGCTTATATATGAATGAGTTACGAGATATCTATATTAGGTATATGAAGTGTGTGTGCTATGTTGTTATGGTTTATATGTATGAATGAGAATATGTATTGACATGTTACAATATATATATATATATATATATATATTATATGAGTTGTGTAAATATGTAGATAAATGTGTTAAATATGTGAAATAGTTAAAATGATCAATATGATTTCATAAGAATATGAAATAAGAAGTATGAAAAGGACATAAGAAAGAATATGAAATATATAGAATATGAATATGAAATCATATGAGGGATGACATGTATGTAATGGTTATATGAAAAGGTATAGGTAATAAGATGATCATATGAACATGTGATAAAGAGCTATAGAAAAAGAAAAAATGTGATATGATGTATGAATATGTAATAAGGTAAAAGACAATGCCATGATATGAGTTATGAGAACTGTAAGTATAGTTGGTATGCCAAGAGTCAAAGAACTACCTATGTCTTTCGAGACATAACGACAGTATACCTATGTTCTAAGGAACATATGGATAGTTTACCTAGGTTCTTCGGGACCTCTGGACAGTTACCGAGGATCTTTATGACCTCTGGACAGTTACCGAGGATCTTTATGACCTCTGGACAGTTACCGAGGATCTTTATGACCTCTGGACAGTTACCGAGGATCTTTATGACCTCTGGACAGTTACCGATGATCTTTATGACCTCTGGACAGTTACCGAGGATCTTTATGACCTCTGGACAGTTACCGAGGATCTTTATGACCTCTGGACAGTTACCGAGGATCTTTATGACCTCTGGACAGTTACCGAGGATCTTTATGACCTCTGGATAGGTCCTTCGGAAAATTCATGGAGCTGTGGGGACAGCATACGTGTGCACAATCTCATAATACTCGTATACCTTGGGTTCTCAATAGTGTATATGGGCTTAAATAAGACATAACGAGGATGTATATAGTTGTATCCTAATATGGTATTATTACGATTTATATTGGCTCATATGTGGTATAATAAATGATTGTATGATAATATAATTGTGTTTGGATAGTAGACGACATGTTTATATTTTAATAATTCTTTATTATGTAATTATGCCTCACTAAGTCTATGACTTAGCGTGTAAGTGTTTTTACACGTAGGTTTCGAAGAACAGGAGAATCAAGAATAGGAATTTGCAGATCAACCTATCTCTACTCAGCGATCAGATCAGAAGTAAAGTCACAGTAGGTATTTTGTTGTATGTAGTGTGTTGGCATGTAAGAACAGTGTTAGTTCAAATGCTCTGATTAGTTTTGTCTTGTTTTGGTTAACTCGTGTGCAGTGACAATGTTATTTTAATAAAAGTTTTAAATTTCATTGGTTTTCGTTAAAAGATTAAAGTTTGAAAAGTCAATGTGACACCTCAGACTTGTATCCGGGTCGGATACGGGTTGAGGGTGTTACAGTAATAGCGGAAGTAATGGGTTTTTCAGGAAGAACCCATTAATAAGTAGAAAATACATTTTGACAATGAACTTTTGTTTTCATAGTTCTTGTGTGACCTTTAGTTGTGGAATAGACTTTAGGTACGTTAAAATTTTGAATGGTGGTTTAGCAATAATATCAGTTACTATATATAGCATCGAAGGGATTTCAGATCTATGTTATTACCTTGTAGTCCAATTTGTACCGTTCGAAATCTTCATGCAGTTAAATTTTCTACTCTGCCAACGGAAAAGACCATTATTAACAAACCTCACTAAAGTCTGACATTAATGTTACAAAATTTTTAGCCGACGAATTTATTAGAATAAAGTAGTGGAAAATGATTGTCCATATTTAACCATGGACCACTAAGATAAATGTTGTAGCGTTAAATTAAAGTCGTGTGAATCATTTATTATCTTTAAAAGATTGATCGAAATATTTGATATCTTTAAACATTTCATCACTGCTAATAAGCTCTTACGCTATTTATCGCTGTAGATTTGGTTGATTTGCATTGTCAACTATTTTTCATGAAAGAACAATGGAATGTGGGGTATCCAACGTTTATGTTCGTGTTCATTTATATTCATGTTCGTTTATGTTCGTGTTCGTTTATGTTCGTTTATTTATTAAATGAACGAACATGAACAAGTTATATTCTTTAATAAACGAACATGAACAAAAAAAAAATTTGTTCGTTTATGTTCGTGTTCGTTTATGTTCGTGAACATACCTCAGTTCGTGTGCGTTCGGTTCGTTTACAGACCTACTGAAATTTAAGTGAAGACAACTAGACAAGGAGGATACATATATATATATCCAAGGAGTGAATAGAGATTTGTATTTCCTTTCTTCTAATTTTATTTTTTATATTTGTGTTTTGTTTTTAAAGAAAAGCAAGATTACAAACAAGAAAAAAAAACGCAAAATTCTTGAAACTCCCACTCGAATTTTTCCTCAATTCATCGAATCCAAAACACTAAACTTTTAAAGAATCATCCCGATGAAAAATAGAGCAACATCGCCGTGGAGATGTGGCGGCAGTATGTGGTACGTTTTCTATCTTTGAATTTTCTTTAACGAAATGTTCAGAATCGAATGAATACATGCTACGGAAGAAGCGATTGGTATAAGCTAAATAATTTAATTGATTGAAAATCAATAACTGCTCTGTATAAAAAAAAAAGTAGAGTTTTGATTTTAATTTGTGAAAAAAAAGCAAGTAGTGGCCAAAGAACAAGGCACATGGTTCATATTCTTGAAGAAATGAGACCTTTATCTTGTGAAAAAAAAATATTCGTCTTAAATGTTGCAGGGTCTCGTGGAACCTCTTTTTATACGGAAAGAGGACCTGATTATGTTGTTTGGCATTGGAAGTAGGAGATATTTTATGTGGGAATTATATACGAATTAACTTGTTTAAGTGCTTCTCTGTCAACGCTGGTAAATGATGCTTTATTGGGTTTAGGGTGGAACTTATGATCTAAATCTCTTGTTTTTTTTTTTATATCAGTTTGATTATTTTGTAAGCGTGGTGATAATGCTTTTGCTATGGTGGGAACAAAGTGTTTTGCTGTACAAGGATTTGTGATTTTCCAAAATGCTATTTATAGCTGATTGTTTGAAAATAAATTCTAGTGTTGGAGTTGTTGTTTCACTTTATTTGCAGAGACACTGTTTCGGAGGATACGGAGAGTTTTGGGTCTAGCTCTTCTGAAACACTAATAGCTAAAGCAGCTGATAGGTATCGTGTGGAGAGTGTGAAATGAATGTATGAATGCTGTCTCTGCAAGAATATATGTGTAAATTCTGTTGCCAAAATATCATGCTACGGAATTAAAAGCCGTTTGTCTCAGATTTGCTACTGAAAACCTTGCAGGTCAACTATACACATTTTCTTTTGACGTGTGTTTTGCTCATCAATGAGTGTGGTGAAACTAATAGTTATTTAAACATAGAACCACCGCTTGTTTGATCTTGTTACTTCTCTGCAATATAAATCTGAGACAAACAGCTTTTAATTCCGTAGCATGATATTTTGGCAACAGAATTTACACATATTCTTGCAGAGTCGGGATTCACACATTCATATCTTTTAATTGGGTGGCATGCATGATACGAGATCCTCCGAATGTAACGAACAATGCATTTGCTGCATGGTTATGACCATGTTGAGGTTCAGAATTTGGACAAAGGTAAGCAATACTTAGGCTTCTCTCACATAATCTATACTCCCTCAAATGATGATGCTTTAAGAGATTTCTCTTAGAATATTTCCAGGAACGACTTTCCATTTCGGTCTCTCAATATGTGTTGTTATTGCAGCAGTCGTGCCATCGGAAAACCTAAAACCCTTTGCCGCAGTCGGAGCTCCTTGCGAGGAGGATTACAGCAGCGGTGACAATCACAGAGTGTGTGGGGCCGATACCAATGGCAGGAGGATCAGGCAAACAACATGATGGTTCTTCTTTCAAGTTGTAAATGCATTTGAAGTTGATGATGTAATGCATTCTTAAATTTTTAGATTCGAAGTTTTGTCATTTCCGTGTTGGCGAAAATATCTGGTGATCTATTATTATATGTTAAGAAGTTTAAAAGCAACTACTTTTCAAGGTAAAATTGCACTTTGATAATATAAATGATAATTAATATTTAATTTAAATAAAATTATAATTTAATTTTATAATGTAAAAAGAATTATAAAAAACAAAAAATCAATTTTTTGGTTTCGTTTTAAATAATGATTCCAAAAGGATATAATATTAATTTGAATATTTAGAATATAGAAGAAGTGTCTAAATAATATTTTTATTTTAATATTTGGTAAAAATTCCCTAAGTAGGTTTATTTTAAATTATTTATAATAAAAAATAAATTAATTTTGATATGAATTCTATTATTATTAAAACAAACAAACAAATATAAGCACAAAAGAGGGAAGAATGGGTGATCATGCTATTGTTTAGCTAGTAATAGAGGATCCTAATTTTACTCCATAATTATGTCCTTTCATTTGAAATTTAAAGCAAGGATATTTTTTTATAAAAATAAAAATGTATAATATAAAAAATGAAAAGTAAATGCCTTGTTTTTCATTGTTTCTTAGTATTAATCAATGTCTTCCTCCAACCCCGACTCAAATGCACATTCGTGCATCCAATCTCTCTCCTCCATCCTTTCTTCCGTCCCTTCCTCCGTCTCTTCCTCTTCAAACCCTTCCTTTTCCCTCCTCCACGACCCCACCATCACCTCCGAAATATCCTCCCTCCTCCGCCTCCCCGACTCCGGCTCCGGCGATAACAACCTCTGTCGTTGGCTGTACGACACTTTCCATTCAACCGACCCCGAACTCAAACTCGTCGTCCTCCGTTTCGTCCCCATCATAGCCGGTGTCTACCTCACCCGCATCTCCCTACGCAAATCCCTCGCCGGCTTCGAAGCCATCGTATTAGCCCTCTACGCCCACGAAACCACCGCCCGCGATGGCCAGCCAGTAACCGTCAACGTGCCCGATCTCTCGCAGCCCAGCATTTACCATGAAGCCAAAGGGTCGGTTAAAAACAAAGCAACGGAGTTAAACCTAGCGGTGATATCTCCGACGTTGGAGCCCCATGGCACGATGCGATCGTCGAGGAGGGCAAGGATCGTGGGGGTGGCTCTAGAGTTGTACTACAGCAAGATATCTCAAATGCCGGTGAGTTCGAAGATGGAGTTTTGTGAGTTCTGTGACATTTGGGCAGCGGGGCAAAAGAGTGAGGAATCGAAGGGGAAGAAAGAGAGGAGGATTCCATTGCCATGGGAGCTTTTGCAGCCAAGCTTGAGGATATTGGGGCACTGCCTTTTGGGTTCCCAAAAAAGTAAAGAGCTTTTGGAAGCGGCTTCAATGGCCACCAAAAGCTTGTACAATAGATGCTTGCATGATGTTGATGCTAAGGGTATTTTGGCGACAAGCAGCCTTCTTCGTCTTGAACAAATGGCTTTGGATCCTAAGCTTAACGTTGATCATACCGAAATAGATGGCAATGTTTTATCTTTGTAAAACTGAAGACACTTAAATTCGTCGCTCATAATATATTCATTATGTTATAAGTTATAATATATATATAGTTTATTTACACTTAAATTCGTCCCTTATAATACATACATATATATAATATTATATTATATTTATTTACATTTTTTTCCCTTCTTTTCTTCTCTCCTTTTACAGGCCCAACAGTAATGGCCCAAATCCACACGCTGACCCAACTGCAATGGAAACCCTAGCAAGCCTTCACTCCATCAACGCCGCATGGTGCACCCAGCTCTCCCTCACTCGTCTCTCCACAAGCGCCACAGTCCCCACTTGGCACGCCGCTTGTCACGCAACTAACCCACTTTTCTCGGCCTCCAACTTACGTGAATGTGTAGGACACCAACTGCTCAACATAGCCCGGTTCTCTCGGCCACAAGCAACGATGGTGGATGTCAAACAAATAAGAGTAGTTGAGTTTGATTAGGACTCAAGCTAGACCAAAAAAATAGGCATGCATTTTTGTATAAATAGGCATGTAATCAACAGTATTAGGGAGATTTTTTTTTTCACACGGTGGATACGAAAGACAACCAGAAAATTATCACACAAATTACACACGAAACATTACGAGAGAGAGGTCACGAAAACATCCCAGAAAACCGAAGCAAACTCAAAGCATTTGTAAACGATTCGCATAGAAATAAAGAGTCAAAAATGGAAGGCCGAGGACCCGGGGAGGGGCTTTTTGAGAGGATCTTGCCAGATCCACCCTCCCGAGGCCATTTTCTTTAAAAAAAAAGCCATTGTTTTTCTGGAAAGCAAGACCCCCGTTCTTCGTTGGTGAAGAACATTCGAGAAAAGGGAGAACAGAAGAGATATTTCGGCGAGAGATGAGGATGAAATGAATTTCAAACGTTTGGTTGAGTTAAAAATGAGGGGATCTGCGTGTTTCTGTTATATTAAGGGTAAACTATGCCTTGTGACCCTCTGATTCCTAAAACTTCCATTTTACCCCCCGAATCCGATTTTTTTAGACCCCATCCTCTTTTGAATTCGACCTTCAATCAGGGTTTTCTTTCAATTTAGTCATGTTGCTTCGTTTTTTTATTTTATAATAATTATTATTATTATTTTTAATATTATTACTTATATATATATATATACGTATTTCATATTTTATTTTTATATTAATACTTTTTGTTGTGTTTTACAATTTGCTATATGTATATTATTTTAATTTAACTATTACTATTATCTTCTTTTTACTAATTTATATATATATATATATATATATATATATATATATATATATATTTACGTTATTATTATTATATACGTATACCTTTTTTTTTATTGATTATTTTTGCTTAATGTTATATTTTAATATATATGTATATACTGTTTTACAAATTATTATATATGTATATATTATTTTAATTTAACTATTACTATTATCTTCTTTTTACTAATTTATATATATATATATATATTTACGTTGTTATTATTATATGCGTATACTTTTTTTATTTGATTATTTTTGCTTAATGTTATATTTTAATATATATGTATATACTGTTTTACAAATTATTATATATGTATATATTATTTTTTAATTTAACTATTACTATTATCTTCTTTTTACTATATATATATATATATATATATTTACGTTATTATTATTATATACGTATACTTTTTTTTTCTTCTTTGATTATTTTTGCTTAATGTTATATTTTAATATATGTGTATATATATATATATATATATATATATGTATATACTTATAATAGTTTATTTATATATCTATTATTATTATGTGTACATTTCAAACGTTTTATTCGATTACCTTTTTCTTTACTTTGTTTTTATTTCTTTGATGATCATCTTTTTATTCATTGTATTTATTTATTCGTTGGTTGTATGTAGATTATTAATATTTCATTTATTTATTTTACTCTGCTTATTAACCCCTTTTTTTTCTCTATTTTTATCTTCATTCTTGTTTCCTTTATTTTTCATTTTTTTTGTTTTCGTTCTTTAACGTCTGTATTGTTAAGGGAATTTCAATCAATCAAGGGTAAGTAGTTCAGATCGATGTTTTACCTTTTAATTTAACTTTCAATTCTCTTAATTAAAGACAACTGGAAATTACATAGTACCGAAAGGGCGGTTCAAGGGTGCTAATCCTTCCTTGGCTGTAATCGACTCCCGAGCCCGACATATTTCCGGTAAGACGCAGATCAGGTAAGAAATAGGGTATCCGATCAACCCATTTATTTTTAAATAAATGATCGGTGGCGACTCCTAATTCATTTTCCTAAGTCGAAGCCCAATTTCGGGCCCAATCGAAAGACGGTTGCGACAGCTTGGCGACTCCGCTGGGGAACTAGGTAAGCGAGTCAGGCTAAGGTAATTTCCAGTTGTCTTTTTAACGAAAAGGGTAAGTTTAAATTTAAGGTAAAATTTCGATCCTTATTGCTTACTTTTGATTATATTTTTCGAGTAAATAGTTGTACTAATCGTTTTCTCATGATTTCAGCTTTCCAAACATTTTTCATCTAAGGCTCTAAACCCGAGCTCCGAACCCGTTTTAAGTGGGGGTGAAAGCGACGCCTTCGTGTGAATTTATTTACCGTATGGGCCTAGCAAGTAGCCTTCGGGATTCATATACCTTATGCCTTCGTGTGAATTTATTCTCCGTATGGGCATAAGGGAATGTGTCCTCTCGAGTTTAACTTAGTCCACACAAGCCTGTGATGGGTTTTGGACTAAGGGTCTGGTCGGTCCAAGGGGGCGCCAGCAAGGAGAACTCGAGTACCGTTTTTAGAACCCAAACCGGGAGGCTTTGAATAAATAGAGCCTACCCCAAAACCACATTCCAAAACTTAGGACATTTCTTTCCTAACCTTTTTTTTCATTTACCATTTATTTTTATTTATTTTTATCTATTTCTATTTTACTAACGTTTTTGCCTTTGTGTTTGTTTTCTAGCATTTGCATCATTACAAGAGGCTATTGATCCTAAAAAACGTTTGTTATACACAAAATAATTCGAGTTAATGGACAAAGGTGTGGTAATACAAGAGATTGAAAACGCTGAGGCACGACTATGGTCCGAGAAGGCTCAGAAAGAGAAGGGAGACAGTCTTCAGGGAAACTATGTGTCAGAACTGGTTAGTTATGCCGCTATCAGCCTGAAACAGAATAATGTCCAGGAGATGCGAAACATTTGGGACAGTTGGAAGAATGACAGAAAGCAGAAGTTCAGCCAACGATATGGTGATATCGCCCTCTTGCTCCATGTCAAGACTGATGAGCCCTTACTCCGAGCATTAATTCAATTCTGGAACCCGGGATATAGTTGCTTCACTTTTAACCAAGAGGACATGGTGCCTACCATCGAAGAATACACTACACTGCTGCATTGTGAAAGCATCAAGCTTGAGCGAGCCTACATTAAACACATCAAAAGCCAGCCCTTCAAGAATGCACTGGCCAAAGTTGCAGGAGTAGATGAGAAATGGGTAATCGATCGGACTCAGCGTAGAGGCAGTGGAGAAGGAATTGAATGGATACACATAAAGCAACTAATGAAAAACCACCCTGATGAGTGGAAGACTATAGACCTGTTTGCACTGGGTCTGTACGGTTTAATCATATTTCCGAAGGCTTTGGGGTGCATTGACGCTGCCGTGGTGGAACTATTTGAGCAACTTTCTAAACGAGTTAACCCAGCACCAGCCATCTTGGCTGAGACCTTTCGATCGCTCAACCATTGCCGAAGAACTGGCGGAGGAAGATTTACCGGGTGTATTCAGCTCCTTCAGGTCTGGATTCACAGCCACTTCTGGAAGACTAACGGGGTTGCCTACCGCCGTTTTAGTACCACCTATTCACCTCTAGGTGAATTTATTACCTTAAAATGGCATGAAGGCGCCTCGAAAGAAAAATGGATGAAGGTCTTTACGCATCTTCAAGACCGAGATATTGTCTGGAGAGCCCCTTGGTTATTCCTCAGTGATGTTCTTTTTCGATGTGGTGACTCCGACACTGTGACCTTACTTGGACTTTGGGGAGCAGTCGGGTATGCTCCGCTATTAGCACTTAGACAATATGGAGCACGACAGTTTGTCCCAGTAACATGCGGGTTGGCTAGGTCAGGGTTTGAGTATCACGGCGACAGCTATAAAAAGATGATCAAAGAAGCAGCCGATTCGTGGAGGAAAGTATTCCGGATGGATGTTGTAGCTGCCAGAAGCATGCTCACTCCGGATTATGTGGAGTGGCGAAGATTAAGAAAGAATGACAACATCCCTGTGCCAGACTGTGATGACACCCGGACCATGGAAGAACATCTCAGGCATGTCCCTTCTGAACTCGAGATAGCCAAGACCGAGTTTGAAGCAGTGAATAATGAGTTGAAGAAAAGGATAAAGGAACTTGAAGCTGAACGTTATCAGTGGAAGCTTGATGCTGACTCTCAGAAAGATCGGGCAGAAAAACTGGAAAAAGAACAAAAAAGAGTCCGTTTTGAGCTCGAAGACTTGAGAAAAGGGTATCAAGATAAGGTCAAGGATAACTCCAAGTTGAAGGTAACCTCTGAATACTGGAAAGACGAAGCTCATAGCCTGAAAAGGAAGTTTGAGGGGCCTGATGAGAAAGCCTGGAAGGAACAGATGAAGACTGCCCAAAGACGCTTGGCAGATAGTCAATATCAGAACCAACACTTGAGAGTTCGGATAGCTGACTTAGAAAAACAACATGAGAAAGATGGCAAGACAATAGCTGAGTTAGAAGCTATTATAGATGGGTTCAAGAGGGAAGCAAACGAGCTTCAGATAGTGCCTTTCGACGGAGGATTACAATGGCGTTTCCGTTGGGAACAAGCACAACGAAGGGTGAGGGCCCGAGACGCAACCATACGAGATTTCCTGGATCAAGTGCAAAAAGCAGCCCGTCATCTTCACGGTCTAGCAAGGGAAGCTGGTGTGGTTCGACAAGGCATTCAACCAGTGACAGATGAAGGCAGAAGACTTGTCAACCTACTGGAAGCTGTTCGGGGTCTAGAGGATTTAGTCCGAATGTACCTTTAATCTGTTTTTATGTCTCTAAAAAGATAAAACATTTTTGTCTGAATAAGGATTATTTATAATAATGAACACTTTTCTGGATCAATGCCTCCAATTGCATACATCATACATTGCATTCATTGCATTTTATATTTCATGTTTGTTTATTTTATATTCTCCATGTTTTTACATTCGTATTAACTAACAGAACATGTCTCAGACACCGAGCTTACCACCGCGAGCATCAGATACACATCACCCGCACAATACTCGAGCAAAAAAGAGACAAATGGAAGCCAGAATAGAGAAGATCGAAGAACACATGGCAAGACTTCAAAAGGAACTAGAAGATAAGATGGCTCAGAACAGCGAAAGTACTCTTGAGTCCATCAAGAAAAATCAGGAGTCTTTGGTCGACCAAATCGTAGCCAAGTTGTCGGGTCTACAACAAGCTAGTGCATCAGGGGGCATCTCTTCTGAGGGGGTGGCCATACCACCAACCCCGCAAGTGGTTATCTCACCCGGAATATTACCCGGGGACGCATCTGCTACTAAAGGGAAAGTAGCACTACCCGGGGACTCACTCGTTACCAAAGCGAAAGTTGCACCTGCTGCGAAGATGCAAACTTCTACAATCGTCCCTGATGATCATCCGGATGATTATCATGTCCCAGACTTTGACGAGGAAGATAAAGCCAAAAAGATGGAAGAAAAGATAAAAATATTAGAAGATCAAATAAAGATGGTCCAGGGAGACCATGATTATTATGGAGTGGACGCAATGGAGCTAAGCCTAGTTCCAGACTTGGTGCTTCCACCAAAGTTTAAAATTCCTGAGTTTGAGAAGTTCGACGGGAACAGTTGCCCCTCAGCCCATATCACTATGTTCTGTCGAAAGATGACAGGATATGGCGGGAATGACCAACTCCTGATCCATTGTTTTCAAGAGAGCCTGTCCGGTTCAGCTATTCGGTGGTACAACCAGCTTAGCCGAACTCATATCAAAACGTGGAAAGACTTAGCCAAGTCTTTCTTGGAGCAGTATAAGCATATCAACGATATGAGACCAGACCGGGTCATGCTACAAAGCCTAGAGAAGAAACACAATGAGAGTTTCCGACAGTACGCACAGAGATGGAGGGATTTATCTGTGCAAGTTCACCCACCCTTGGATGAGAAGGAAACAAGAAAGCTGTTTGTACAGACCTTGAAGGCACCTTACTTCGGGCACTTGGTAGCAATCACGTCGGGAAGTTTCTCAGATTTGGTCATGGCCGGTGAAATGATCGAGTTGGCCATTAAACAAGGAAAGATTGAGGGAGGAGACTCCAGTAAAAAACCTCCTATGAAAAACAAGGAGCGAGAGATCAACAATGTGAACACCTACAACGTCAACAAGGGGGTTACGATCTCAAGCTCAAATTCCACAGCAGCTGTACCATCCGGTACTTCTAGACAGAACCAGAGAGAACCGAGAAGAGAAAGGGAAAGGGAGCAGTTTGACCCGATTCCCATGACGTATAAAGAATTATACCAACAGCTCTTCGACACTCATGCAGTGTCACCTTATCCTATGAATCCAATAAATCCCCCTTACCCGAAATGGTATGACGAGAGCGCTCATTGCGAATACCATGGCGGTGTGCAGGGGCATTCGATTGAAAGTTGTCTCGCATTCAAGAGACTTGTGCAAAGAATGAGAAACAAGAATTGGATCACTTTCAACTCCGGAGCACCAAACGTCGCTCAGAATCCCTTGCCCAATCATCAGGAGACAGGAATCAATGCCATTACTACTGAAAGGGGAAGGAGAATTAAATCAAGTGTTTCGGAAATCAAATCTCATTTGGCTTGGGTATGGAGCCAAATGGTAAAGGCAGGATTTCTTGCACCGTATTCAGATACGACAGAAAATGAAGACGGTAATCATTGTTATTTCCACAACAAAGAAGGGCATAAAGTGCAAGATTGCCCGGAGTTCAGATTGTTAGTCCAGCTCATGATGGATCGAAAGGAGCTGGAGTTTTATGAAGAAATTTTAGATTCTTTGGAAGCAGATGTTTGTGCCACCGGAGAATCATCAGATAGAAAATTTGGTAGGGGTAGTCCTTTGATAATTACCCCTAAGGCAAGCATGACAGTAACGACACCAACCAAGGTGGTAATCTCCGCGCCGCGGCCTTTTCAATATAAGGACAATCGGCAAGTGCCATGGAAGTACGAGTGTCAGGTGAGCACTTCCGGAGAATGTAATAGTAAAGTGGGGCAAAGACCACTGGAGCCATTCAAAGAAGATGTGCTAGTCGTCAATGAACCTATAAAGGAGGAAGAAGCTAAGGAGTTCCTTAAGATCTTGAAGCACAGCGAGTACAACATTGTAGAACAGCTCCACAACTTACCTACACGTACTTCAATGCTAGCACTATTTTTAAGCTCGGAAGCACACCGAGAAGCGTTGTTGAATGTCCTTAATCAAACGTTCGTGCCACAAGACATACCAGTCAGCAAGATGGATCGACTGGTGAACAATATTCAAGCTGATAATCTCATCTCGTTTTCAGATGATGAGATTCCATCAGGAGGAAGAGGCCGAACGAAGGCGTTACACATTACTACCTACTGTAAGGGGCACGCTTTACCAAGTGTCTTAATCGATAATGGTTCAGCCTTGAACGTGATGCCTTTGATTACATTGAAGAGGCTACCAATAGATACCTCTCATATGAGAGCTTGTCAGAATGTGGTCCGAGCATTTGATGGGACCAAAAGAGAGGTAATAGGAAAGATTGAGGTACCATTGACCATCGGACCAACCACCTATAATGTCGAGTTCCTTGTGATGGATATCATGCCGTCCTATAGCTGTCTTTTGGGAAGGCCGTGGATTCATCAGGCAGGTGCAGTACCCTCCACGTTGCACCAGAAAGTTAAATTTGTCATTGACGGGGCCTTGGTAATTATCAACGCTGAGGAAGATATCGTGGCAAGCGTGACCACGGAGGCTCCATACATCGAAGTAGACGAGGAAGCGGTAGAATGTTCGTTCCGCTCCTTGGAGTTTGTGAATGCCACATTTGTGGCAGAAGGAAAGAGAATCCCAAGACCTCGACTCTCCAAATGCACAAGGATGGAGATCAAGCAAACCCTAGATCGAGGCGCCAGAACCGGGAGAGGTTTTGGGAAATATTTGCAAGGGATGATCAATCCTGTCATTCCTATCCCAAAATCAGACCAATTTGGGCTCGGTTTTCAGCCCGGTTATCATGAAAAGAGAAAGGAAATCCAAAAGAACCGGGAGAGAAGGTTAGCTAGATTGACTGGAAACGAACTCCAATGGAAGCCTATGACATTCCCGCCGCTTTTCAGAACATTCAAGTCAGGTGGTTATGTGTTTGAGACCACCACATCCGAGTTAGAAACGGCTCTGGAAGATCTGAACGTTAATGCCGTGACCACAGAAGATGTTGACAACGGAGATAGATCTGGGATATGCCTTCTGCCACATGGGTTCGTGCCTAGCAGTTGGTCGGTGGAAGAACTACCTGTGGTTTACAAGAATCTTTCAGAGTAATATTCGAACTATCCCTATTTGCCTATACCCGGGGCAATAGGTGATCTTTTGTAAGGGTGAATAAATATTTTGTTTAAGTTTAATAAAGGATGCATTTTTCTTTTCCATGGCAAACAAATTTTTCTTTTATTTATTATCTATCTCCCTCATTCCAGTACTTCATTTCCAGTTACTCTCAAAGTTAGTTCTTGACCATTCCGTGTGGGATATTATCCTCTCACACATACACATCTTCCTCCTTTCAGGTTCCCAGATAACGATAATGTGGGCACTAATGACCCTGATCCGGAGGTGGATTTTGAATCAACCATTTATCTTGGGGAATTTGAAGAATGCGATAATGAAGAAGAGTACAACTTGCCTACCGAATTGTTGAGAATGATAGAAAAAGAAGAAAAGCAAATACTGCCACATGAGGAGGCGATCGAAATCTTAAATTTGGGCACTGAGGAAGATCGAAAGGAGGTTAAAATCGGTACAACTCTTTCGACTGAAGCAAGAAAAAACCTGATAGCCTTACTTCAGGAGTACGAAGATGTGTTTGCTTGGTCGTATCAAGACATGCCGGGACTAGACACAGATATGGTAGTTCACAAACTGCCAATCAAACCAGAATTCAAACCAGTGCAGCAAAAACTGAGAAGAATGCGACCAGAAATGCTCCTTAAGATCAAGGAAGAAGTCAAGAAGCAATTTGATGCCGGTTTTCTCCAAGTGGCCAAATACCCTGAGTGGGTGGCCAACATAGTGCCTGTGCCGAAGAAGGACGGGAAAGTACGCATGTGTGTCGATTACCGGGACCTTAATAAGGCCAGTCCCAAGGACAACTTTCCTCTGCCACACATAGACACTCTGGTGGACAATACGGCTGGGAACGCCTACTTTTCATTCATGGATGGATTTTCGGGGTATAATCAGATCAAGATGCATCCCGAAGACATGGAGAAGACCACTTTCGTCACAATGTGGGGAACTTTCTGTTACAAAGTGATGCCTTTCGGATTAAAGAATGCTGGGGCAACATATCAGAGAGCTATGGTGACCCTGTTCCACGACATGATGCACAAAGAAATCGAGGTTTATGTCGACGACATGATTGTTAAGGCACAAACCGAGAATGAACATGTCAAGAATCTGAAGAAGCTCTTCCAGAGATTGAGAAAGTTCCAACTGAGACTAAACCCTAGCAAATGTACCTTCGGGGTAACATCTGGAAAACTATTAGGCTTTATAGTCAGCAGGAGAGGCATACAGGTCGATCCAGATAAGGTTAAGGCTATCCAGAATCTACCTCCACCACGAACCCAAAAAGAAGTCCGAGGTTTTCTGGGCAGACTAAACTACATAGCTCGGTTCATCTCTCAGTTAACCGACAAATGTGACCCCATCTTTCGTCTCCTCCGAAAAATAGCCCTGGAGCATGGGATAAAAATTGTCAGATTGCATTTGAGAAGGTAAAAGAGTACTTGTCTCACACTCCTGTCCTGATGTCCCCTATCCCAGGAAAACCTCTATTTTTGTATCTCTCTATATTCGAGAACTCCATGGGGTGTGTTCTGGGTCAACACGATGAGTCTGGGAAGAAGGAAAGAGCCATCTACTACTTAAGCAAGAAGTTCACCGATTGCGAGGTCCGATATCCTCCTATTGAGAAGGTTTGTTGTGCCCTGGTATGGGCTACAAAAAGACTTCGACAATACATGTTGTATCACACCACTTGGCTGATTTCCAAGTTAGACCCACTAAAATACATGATGGGTGTACCTGCTCTATCCGGAAGGTTAGCTCGATGGCAGATGCTTTTGTCTGAATTTGACATCGAATACGTGAGCCAAAAAGCGGTAAAAGGCAGCGCCATATCCGATTTTTTGGCAAGCAGAACTGATGAGAGCTATGAGCCGCTGGACTTTGATTTCCCGGACGAGGACTTAATGGCCATATCTTTAGAGGAAACAAGTATTTTAACGGACGGTTCCTGGAGAATGCACTTCGATGGGGCATCAAATGCACTAGGACATGGCATCGGGGCAATTCTAGTCTCCCCAGAAGGGAGTCACTACCCATTTACCAGCAGACTGAACTTTGATTGTACCAATAACATGGAAGAATATGAAGCCTGTGTCTTGGGAATTCGGGCTGCACTGGGGCAAAATATAAAGACTCTACGGGTGTATGGAGACTCAGCCTTAGTAGTCTATCAGCTCCGAGGAGAGTGGGAAACCAAGGATATAAAGCTGTTAGAGTACCGAAAACTAGTGTTGGATCTGCTCGAAGAGTTCGACGAAGTCACCTTCCACTACGTGCCTAGAGAAGAAAATCAAATGGCTGACGCTCTAGCTACCTTGGCAGCCACATTCAAGGCTGGCGGGGAGTCTGAAATGATGCCAATTAACATGCAGTCGTATGAGTATCCAGCTCATTGTTACCAAATTGAAGAAGTGAAAGATACTAAGCCTTGGTATTACGACATTCTGCAGTATATCAAGCATCGGAATTATCCAGAAAAAGCCACCGAAACCGATAAGAGAACCCTTAGAAGGTTGGCAGCGGGATACGTCCTAGACAGAGAGGTTTTGTATAAGAAAAGTCGTAATCAAGTTCTGTTAAGGTGCGTCGATGCTGAAGAGGCAAAAATGATAGTGGAAGAAGTACATGATGGAGTTTGTGGAGCGCATGCAAATGGGCATATGATGTCAAGACAAATAATGAGATGCGGATATTTTTGGTCCACACTAGAGAGCGATTGCATCAACTATGCTAGGAGATGTCATAAATGTCAGATTTATGGAGACAAGATAAATGTTCCACCCCATTCACTTCATGTAATGACGTCACCATGACCTTTTTCTGTGTGGGGCATGGACGTTATCGGGCAAATTCATCCGAAGGCTTCGAATGGTCACCGTTTCATTCTCGTAGCAATTGATTATTTCACGAAATGGGTAGAGGTTGCGTCATACGCCAGTGTCACTCAATCCACTATTTGCAAGTTTCTGAAGAAAGAAATTATATGTCGGTATGGTCTACCTGAAAGGATTATCACCGATAACGCAACAAACTTGAACAACAAGATGGTGAGTGCTGCTTGCGAACAGTTCAACATAAAACATCACAATTCCACTGCCTACAGACCAAAGATGAACGGAGCAGTAGAAGCAGCAAACAAAAATATTAAGAAGATAGTGGAGAAAACAACTGAAACCTACAAAGACTGGCATGAGAAGTTGCCTTTTGCTTTGTTCGCTTATCGAACCTCGGTACGTACATCGACTGGGGCAACTCCATTTTCACTAGCCTATGGAATGGAAGCAGTGCTACCCATTGAAGTCGAGATTCCGTCTCTCAGGGTCTTATCAGAAGTCAAACTAGATGATGCAGAGTGGGCACAATCCAGATATGATCAGCTTAATCTGATAGATGAAAAAAGACTGAAAGCCATTCATCATGGTCAAATCTATCAGAAACGAATGATCCGAGCACACGACAAAAAGGTGCGCCCGAGAATATTCCGTGAAGGGGATCTAGTGCTAAAAAGAATTTGGCCAGTCCAGAAAGATTTCCGAGGAAAATGGACGCCAAATTGGGAAGGACCTTATGTCGTGAAGAAGGCTTTCTCCGGAGGAGCCCTTATCCTGGCTGAAATGGACGGACCTGAACTGCCACATCCCATTAACTCGGACGCAGTTAAGAAATACTTCGCTTAGGATGAAAACCCGAGAGGGCGTCCTAAGTTAAAAAAAAAAAAAAAAGGAAAAACGTTTGGGGTGAAAACCCGAAAGGGCGCCCTAAATTGAAAAAAGAAAAAAGAGGAAAAAGAAGAGAAAATAAGGTGGGTTCAAGATGAAAACTCGCAAAAGGGCGTCTTGCAACTAAGGATGGGTCCAAGTTGAAAACCCGAAAAGGGCGATTTGGATATCAACGGTGGAAACATCCCGGCACATGAATCTTCTACGAACTCAACAAATCGGAGAAATGTTGCACCCTCCCAAACGTCGTCGCATTTTCAATGATCCTTTGGCAAAGGCTGCATTCAAAGTCACCAAACGGCTTTTCAACTCAGAAGTGCCCACGTTATCGAGATCTAAGACATTCATTTACACATCATTGTGTATTCGTTTTCTAGAATGTTTGCCATGTATTATTTGTTCTTCTCCTCCCTTATGAATAAAGACCATCTTTCCTCCAATTCCTTTTGAGCATCTTGAATTAGATTTAAACCTAATGATTTATTTATTTTTATGAAAGATAATCGCATATTACTGTACAAAGATTCATTGAAAAGTACAGGTACCCAGAAGCCGATCAAGGCTCATGCACATGCTTGAGATGGTTGAGGAGCATCTTCAAAAAAAAAAAAAACTGAAAAAAATCATCATCAAATATTTGAAGAATTCAAGATCAGAGATCGGAACTTCAAGCTCAAGAGTCAACAACGACAGGCCACTGGAGATCGAGATTACTCTCCAGAGCTCAGAATAACATATGTTGCATATGCATTTTAGGCATACCTAAGAGCATGACATCCATAACATCACATATATGCATATCTTTGCAGGTTTTACCCAGAGCCAATTTCAACTTCACAACGAAGGATATTGGACTCCAGACAACGTAAGTTCAACTTCACGACGAAGGGACCGCTGGTTGTCAACGAACATTTCTCAATTTCAGAGCCAATTTCAACTTCACGACGAAGGATATTAGACTCCAGACAACGTAAGTTCAACTTCACGACGAAGGGACCGCTGGTTGTCAACGAACATTTCTCAATTTCAGAGCCAATTTCAACTTCACGACGAAGGATATTAGACTCCAGACAACGTAAGTTCAACTTCACGACGAAGGGACCGCTGGTTGTCAACGAACATTTCTCAATTTCAGAGCCAATTTCAACTTCACAACGAAGGATATTGGACTCCAGACAACGTAAGTTCAACTTCACGACGAAGGGACCGCTGGTTGTCAACGAACATTTCTCAATTTCAGAGCCAATTTCAACTTCACAATTGGACTCCAGACAACGTAAGTTCAACTTCACGACGAAGGGACCGCTGGTTGTCAACGAACATTTCTCAATTTCAGAGCCAATTTCAACTTCACAACGAAGGATATTGGACTTCAGACAACGCAAGTTCAACTTCACGACGAAGGGACTGCTGCTTGTCAACAACAACTTCCCAATCTCAGAGCCAATTTCAACTTCACAACGAAGGATATTGGACTCCAGACAATGCAAGTTCAACTTCACGACGAAGGGACCGCTGCTTGTCAACAAAATTTCATTCAGATTCAATTTCAACTCCACAACGAAGGACATCGGACTCGAAACAACACAATTTGCTCAAGAGTAGATTTCAACTCCACGACGGAGGATATCTAACTCGAAGCCAAACTTCACAACAAAGGACTCATACTCAGAATCTTCCAGTTTTGACTCAACCTCACGACAAGGGAGTCATTTCATGATCGAATTTCAACTCTATGACAAAGGATAGTGGATGTGGACGAAATTTGTGTCTTTTAATCTTTGCTCTATTTTCGTTACACGATAATGAGCAAAGAGGGGCAACTGAAGACACTTAAATTCGTCGCTCATAATATATTCATTATGTTATAAGTTATAATATATATATAGTTTATTTACACTTAAATTCGTCCCTTATAATACATACATATATATAATATTATATTATGTTTATTTACATTTTGTTTCCCTTCTTTTCTTCTCTCCTTTTACAGGCCCAACAGTAATGGCCCAAATCCACACGCTGACCCAACTGCAATGGAAACCCTAGCAAGCCTTCACTCCATCAGCGCCGCATGGTGCACCCAGCTCTCCCTCACTCGTCTCTCCACAAGCGCCACAGTCCCCACTTGGCACGCCGCTTGTCACGCAACGAACCCACTTTTCTCGGCCTCCAACTTACGTGAATGTGTAGGACACCAACTGCTCAACATAGCCCGGTTCTCTCGGCCACAAGCAACGATGGTGGATGTCAAACAAATAAGAGTAGTTGAGTTTGATTAGGACTCAAGCTAGACCAAAAAAATAGGCATGCATTTTTGTATAAATAGGCATGTAATCAACAGTATTAGGGAGATTTTTTTTTCACACGGTGGATACGAAAGACAACCAGAAAATTATCACAAATTACACACGAAACATTACGAGAGAGAGGTCACGAAAACATCCCAGAAAACCGAAGCAAACTCAAAGCATTTGTAAACGATTCGCATAGAAATAAAGAGTCAAAAATGGAAGGCCGAGGACCCGGGGAGGGGCTTTTTGAGAGGATCTTGCCAGATCCACCCTCCCGAGGCCATTTTCTTTAAAAAAAAGCCATTGTTTTTCTGGAAAGCAAGACCCCCGTTCTTCGTTGGTGAAGAACATTTGAGAAAAGGGAGAACAGAAGAGATATTTCGGCGAGAGATGAGGATGAAATGAATTTCAAACGTTTGGTTGAGTTAAAAATGAGGGGATCTGCGTGTTTCTGTTATATTAAGGGTAAACTATGCCTTGTGACCCTCTGATTCCTAAAACTTCCATTTTACCCCCCGAATCCGATTTTTTTAGACCCCATCCTCTTTTGAATTCGACCTTCAATCAGGGTTTTCTTTCAATTTAGTCATGTTGCTTCGTTTTTTATTTTATAATAATTATTATTATTTTTAATATTATTACTTTATATATATATACGTATTTCATATTTTATTTTTATATTAATACTTTTGTTGTGTTTTACAATTTGCTATATATGTATATATTATTTTAATTTAACTATTACTATTATCTTCTTTTACTAATTTATATATATATATATATATATATATATATATATATATATATATATATATATACGTTATTATTATTATATACGTATACCTTTTTTTTATTGATTATTTTGCTTAATGTTATATTTTAATATATGTATATACTGTTTTACAAATTATATATGTATATATTATTTTAATTTAACTATTACTATTATCTTCTTTTACTAATTTATATATATATATATATTTACGTTGTTATTATTATATGCGTATACTTTTTTTATTTGATTATTTTTGCTTAATGTTATATTTTAATATATATGTATATACTGTTTTACAAATTATTATATATGTATATATTATTTTTTAATTTAACTATTACTATTATCTTCTTTTTACTAATATATATATATATATATATATATATTTACGTTATTATTATTATATACGTATACTTTTTTTTTCTTCTTTGATTATTTTTGCTTAATGTTATATTTTAATATATATGTATATATATATATATATATACTTATAATAGTTTATTTATATATCTATTATTATTATGTGTACATTTCAAACGTTTTATTCGATTACCTTTTTCTTTACTTTGTTTTTATTTCTTTGATGATCATCTTTTTATTCATTGTATTTATTTATTCGTTGGTTGTATGTAGATTATTAATATTTCATTTATTTATTTTACTCTGCTTATTAACCCCTTTTTTTTCTCTATTTTTATCTTCATTCTTGTTTCCTTTATTTTTCATTTTTTTTTGTTTTCGTTCTTTAACGTCTGTATTGTTAAGGGAATTTCAATCAATCAAGGGTAAGTAGTTCAGATCGATGTTTTACCTTTTAATTTAACTTTCAATTCTCTTAATTAAAGACAACTGGAAATTACATAGTACCGAAAGAGCGGTTCAAGGGTGCTAATCCTTCCTTGGCTGTAATCGACTCCCGAGCCCGACATATTTCCGGTAAGACGCAGATCAGGTAAGAAATAGGGTATCCGATCAACCCATTTATTTTTAAATAAATGATCGGTGGCGACTCCTAATTCATTTTCCTAAGTCGAAGCCCAATTTCGGGCCCAATCGAAAGACGGTTGCGACAAAAACACCATACATTTATCTGTAATCTTTCTCTTTATGATGATTTATTGTCAGAAATTTTGTTAAATCTCCTGACAATCAACAATTTATATGTACTGTTTATCAACAAATGAACTCGTTTTTTAGTTTTTGCAAAGTACAAGGATCATATATTTATTTTAATTTAGACGAAATCATACCGTTCCATAAGTAAATAGATAGGGATAGAATAAAAAAGGGAACCTTCATCCCTTAGGATCATAATGCATCTATGTTCAATATTAAATAGAATGTTTCCTTTTAATTATTGATTATTTAAATTAGTAGACAATAGTTGAGAGTGTACTATATCCTTAGGTCAAATTATGGGACACTCTATATAACTTCTTTTACAAAAATAGACAAGTTAATATATGTATATTTTGAAATAAATCAATTAATATCAATGTTTAATCTGTGTGTGGATTTGTTCTTATTGTTATTTTTAGTTGCAGATTTTGTCCTTTTACCCCCATTTTCCATCAAAATTTTCAGCGTTTCATTAAGGTACAATGCGGCAATCAAAATCAAAGTATTTTTGCCCAAAATATCGATACAAGTAAAATTAAAGCAATCATCCACATATTTTGATTTGATAATTGTTCATTCCTTTCATTTGATGTGAATTACAGGTGTTTTTATTTATTTAGATAAAAATATAATTTCATGGAATAGAGTGAATTGTGAAATGGTAAGATTCTTAATTTTATTAAATATTTAGTATATAATATATTAAATATTATACATATAAAATATGGGATATATTAAATATAATTTTCATAACTTGTATCATGAATGAGATGTTAATTCCTACTTCTCCAAGCAATCGAGTTGCTGAAACAATGTTATCAATTTCCTCCAACTTTCCCAAGAAAATAGAAGAAATCAAAATGGAAAATTGCACATTTTACCTAATTTTAATTCCTAAATCTCCCTTAATAAATACCCTCCCATGCATGATCTTGTTATAAAGTAAACATTTGAGCTCTGTGGCCGAGATGATAATGAAGCTTGTCTTGTTCTTCCTCCTCCTCCATTATTACTCGACATTAACATTAACCTTAGCGCAAGTTTCATCAATGGCGCCTGCATTAGCTCCTGCGGTTCCTGCTTTAACAAACGTCACCAAAATCCTCGAAAAAGCCGGTCAGTTCACCATTTTTATTGGACTCATGAAATCGACCCGGGTCTCCAACCAACTCCCCGACCAGCTCAAAGACAGCAACAACGGCATCACCATTTTGGCACCCAGCAACGATGCTTTCTCCACGTTGAAATCCGGAACTTTGAACTCCCTCTCCGATGAACAAAAAGTGAAGCTGGTCCAGTTTCATATAGTCCCGACGTACATATCATCTTCCCAGTTTCAGACCATTAGTAACCCTGTGAGAACGCAAGCCGGGGACAGCGGTGACGGAAACTTCCCCCTCAATGTCACCACCGACGGAAACTCCGTCAACTTAACCTCGGGGCTCACCAACACCAGTGTTTCCGCCACCGTTTTCACCGACGGTCAGGTTGCTGTTTATCAAATCGATAAGGTTCTTCAGCCTTCGCAGATATTTGATCCCAGGCCTCCGGCTCCTGCGCCGGCGCCGGAAAATACGAAGAAGAAGAGGGAAATAGATATGGCTGACAGCCCCGATGATGATTCCACAACTGATAAATCCAAAGCCGTGAGATTCACCGTGGAAAAGAATGTTGGTTTATTAGGGATCAGTGTCATAATATTATTGCACTAATTGCTTCGTGATCATAAAATCAAAGGACGAAAACAGGGTGATTTCGATGTGAATTATTAGGGGAAATTTGAGTTTGGGGCTTCATTTTATATATTAATCTATGAACTTATTATTATTGCATCTTTTTATCATATAAAAAGTCGATGTTATGATTATTATTCAAATTCTGTCATGCATGATTTGCGTAGAATTTGAATACATTGTTTAACATGCATTCTTTTATAAATAAAATATAAAATTTAACGATAGAATAATTAAAATATTAATCGTAAAAAAATTATTCTCTCTCCCCTCTCTCTCTCTTTATGTCATCTTTCTTCTCTTGTCTCTCACAAAAAATCATTGACTAACGTCTGCTCTTGCATCTCTTGGTTTTCAAAGTTTCACCCTGACTAATCTAGATCGATTCGGGTTGTACACCTGGTTTTGGTGGGTGAGTCTCCCAGTACAAATTTTCTATAATCATAAAGACTCAAACTCAAGACTTACTTAAACGATATCAAGTTAATTACTACTTAAACTAACTCCATTGATAGTATAGTTCTAAAAGGTTATGGATTCACCAATAAAGTTTAGATCAATTACGAGGCTAAAGTTTTGGGATATTTAGTGTCACAAGTTCAAATATTAGAATATATAAATTTATTTATATATATGACTTATCATTTAAGTTAAAAAAATTATGGTTTTATGTTATGAGTGGGAACTTTTAAAAATTTATATTATAAATTTAGAAAATTTAAAATAAAAATTAAATCTTCAATAAAAATATTAAATGAATTTAAAATCTTTTAGAATGTGACCATCCTCAATACTCCTTAGATCCACTTATTAGTATATATTCATATACAAATTATTATTGATTAAAGTTGGTTTTCAACCGACATGTAATTATAGTTGGATTATAAATTCAAATCCCATCAAATTATCCATGACTTTTTATAAGGCATTAAATCAAAAGATCATAAATTTTTAATCGAATTGAACAATTAATTTTAAGGATGAACGCTATGTTAAAATGATGAATTTATAAAATTCTAAAGGACAGAAATAAATTATGAATTGAAAATACAAAACAAAGATTTAAAATATATACTAAATTAAAAATTTTAAAAGAAGCGATTGTCCCATCCGTCTACTTGGGTCTAACCCTCCTTTAGTCCATCCCTAATTAATCTGATTGGACTTCTCTACTACGAGGTAGTTTATATTTCCACGAATGAAGCAAGGTGCGAAACATAGTAAGACATATGTACCTAGGATTCGCATCATGAATTAAACAAAGTCAAAAAGGTTAAATTTAGTTAAATGAATATTAATGCATATAAATCTCCATTAACAAAGTAATAAACCTAAGCATCATCGACTAGACGGGGACATTTCAAATTATGCTGTGTTCATGTTTTGGATCCCATGCCACAATTTTAGATAACTAATTACTCGTAGATTCAAACCAAAAGTTAGGGAGAAAGACACGAATACTATGGAAGACCCTTATTAATCAATATAGGATAAAATACATAAGAGGTTATTGAATTATGTTCAAATGATCATTTTAGTTATTAAACTTTCAAAATTATAAAATGATCATTAAATTTATCGAATTTTTATAATAATTCAATAAAATTTAATGATCATTTTATTAAATTTTGATAAATTTAATAATTATTTTATAACTTTTAAAAAATTAATAACCAAAAGTAATCCTTTAAATATAGTTAAATGATGTATACTATACTTTACCCATCAAAATAATATGCAAGAGAACATTGTCCTCACATTAAAGAGTGCTACTAAAGAAAAGCGTTGCTTCCGAAATTCTTGTGAATTGCTTCAATATTTTTTCCTCTCAATTATTCGTATTTATCACGTGAAATCAACAATTGAAAGGAGATTTAAAGAACATTATTTTATTTAGAGATCTAGAGTTCAAATAATTATATTTTTAAAATATGTATAATCAATTCAAATATAAATATAACATTTTAAATATATAAAAAGGTTTTTAATAAAAAAAAAGTAGTCAAATATATATTATAGTAGATTTATGTTTAATATTCAATTTCGACCCAATCTTAACCTCTTTGAAGTGGGGGACAAGGTAAAGCCGAAGACGTAGTTTATGATCCAAAAGGATGTCCCTATCCGTGCTACGTTGGGGCGTGTATATAAAGCTTGGCAGTGGCACACTGCTCTATTCACTCCCCCTCCCCCCAACCCTCGCGGGGCCTCTTCTCTTCTCTTCTCTTCACAGAGGAATTAGAATGGAGAAGAAAGCAAACACAGATCTTCGTTTTCCTCCTGGTTTCAGGTTTCATCCATCGGATGAAGAGCTCATCATTCATTACTTGCAAAACAAAGTGGCTTCACGTCCACTCCCTGCTTCTGTAATTGCAGAAATAGATCTGTACAAATATAACCCATGGGAGCTACCAAGTCAGTCATATCTCAGTCCTATATAAATAAATATATATCCTTTTTATGTTCCCTACAACAACAATATGGGTTTTTGTTTTTGCAGTGAGCTTCGTTTGGAGAGAATGAATGGTTTTTCTTCAGTCCACGAGACAGAAAGTATCCCAACGGAGAAAGACCGAACCGAGCGGCGGCATCGGGTTACTGGAAGGCGACGGGCATCGACAGGCCGATACTGACTTCTTCGGAGCCGAAGAACATCGGAGTGAAGAAAGCGTTGGTGTTTTACTCAGGTAGACCACCCAAGGGTGTTAAGACGGAGTGGACCATGAACGAGTGCATATTGTTGGATACTATGGTTAAACCCCCCAGATTCAAAGGCTCCATGAGAGTAAGTCCATAAAAATGCATCCCCATCGCTTCATTTTTACTTTCCTTACAAATGAGCCCAATTTTTTCTTTCAAAAAGTTAAAATTTAATCATTTAATTAAAATATTATTATAAATAAATCATTTTTACATTAAAATTAGATATAATAATGACATGATCTAAAATAATAATAATTTTAATTTCTAGAATTATTATATTATATAGTTTAATCTTTATTCAAAATTGTTTAATAAATTTAATATTTGTATTTAAAAATTCTTCTGATTTAATATTTAATCTTCTCTTACCTTATTTGTTTTTCCAAAAATATTATATTAATTTCTTGTAAAATTACTGATATAACAACAATTCGATAATAATTTATTGTTACTTTATTATAGAATACAACTATCCAATTATTGTAGATTCATTTGATTTAATAATATCATAAAAATTATTAAATTGAAATAATATATAACTTTTGAAAACTAAACTTGGCATAATATTAGATTATATTAAAAGTTTTTTTAATTTTTACAAAGTGTGACATATTTTATAATAATATTTTAAGGTTTAATATAAAAATAAATGTCCAAATTATATTCCAGGTTAACTTTAGGTATCTAAAGATTTTTTTTTTGTTAAAAATAAGTGCCTAGTGTTTCCGACGTTACCCTTTTAGGTGCCTAACGTTTCTGACGTTATACTTTTAGGTGTCTAATGTTAAATTCGGTTGTTAAGTGTCACGTGTTAGGCTTATTAATTTTTATTTAAAATCACACACTTAAAACTAGTATTTAAAACAACCCAATATTTTCTTAAATTATAAAAAATTGCAAAATCCCCAAAACCCTACTTTCAATCCCTTATCACTGACGGCTGCCACCAATGTTGTCAATAAGCTAAAACCTCGATGGTGTGCAACTGCCTGAACCCCAATGCATTACGCAGTGATAGTAGCGACAAATCGACGATGGCAACGGGTAAATGATTTTGATAATTCAAGTGAAGATTCCTCTCGTCGTGCGTTGGACTTCGATTAAATGGGGTGTCAGACGGCAAAGAGCAGTGATCTAGATAACATTGACGGTGGACAGTTTGAGTTAAGGAATTTGGACTTAGAGTATTTAGAGTTTTGGGGTTATTTTGAAATTTAAGAAAAAATGAGGGTTTTAAAAATTTATTTTATTTTTTAAGTTTTTTATTTTAAAATAAAACTTTTAAAATTTTATAAGTCTGACATGTGTCACTTAACGGCCGAATTTAACGATCGTTACATTCCAGACACCTAAAAGTGTCACTTGGAAACTTTATGCACTTGTTTTTAGTGGAAAAAAAATCTTTAGACACCTAAAGTTAACTTAAGATATAGTTTGAGCACTTTTTTTTCTTCCCTTTAGCCATATTATAATTAATTGACTAAAATATAATTTATTTTTAAAAAACGTGACCCATTTGTGACCAAAATAAATAATTGAGTCACCTAGGTTATATCTTACCCTAAAACCATCAACATAGCACCAATTATCCAACGCTTATTTCATGTAAGCAATTTGCAAAGGCAGACTAACTCAAGGTATTGTTTCCGCAGTTAGACGTTTGGGTGCTGTGCCGGGTCCGGAGAAAAGGACCCATGTCAAAGAACACAGCCCAAGTCCAAGACAGCAACGGCACACAGTTTACGAGGTCGACACAACCGGCATTCGCACACAGTCATGATATCGGACTGTCTGAACCAAGATTGCCAAGTATTGGCCTTGATACTTGCCGGACAAGGTTTACCTCCAATTGAGGAAAACTCAAGTGCCAAATTCTAGGGCAGCAACAGCTTCATTTCGTTTGGCAAAGAAGGTTCGGAGAAAAGGAATGAAGATTTCCCACCTATCAAGATGTTTCCCAGAAATGATAAAAACTACCAAGACCCAACGGATTCCGTTATCGAATTCCATGAGCATAGTATTTGGCCTTCACACATATATGCAAGAACACTTGTAAAAAAACAAGGCCTTGGTTTTCATAATCAAATTTCAGATTATGTACAGAGAAATTTAGTTAAAGGGCAACGGAATTAATTGCTGATGCCGTGCAAATCTAATCGCTAGTTTATGTACTGTGTATTGTTCTTGTGATCAAGCATGCTTAGTAGCGAATATTTGAGTTTATTTACTCCAATAAAATCTCCTTTTAAGTTTATTTACGAATTTAGATTTTTATTATTATTTATCAAAATTTTATCCATTTATATTACGTAAAATAAAGACAAGACTTATTAGATACATTTTTCAAAAGTGTAATTGAAGTACTAACTGTAACGAAAAACATAAATTCATAATTGTAATTGAAGTCATCAATGAGGTCACGATGATAACTTGAATGCAAATGCAAGACAGTTCTACCTATTACCAAATCACCTTTTATTGGAATAATGATATTTCATATTATTTAGTGTACAACAAGTGAGATAGATATTGATGAGTAAATAATATTATAACGGAACTTGAGCTAAATGGACAGGATAAGGTAATTGAAAGGGCATTTTGAATAAACAATATTGAAGTTTTGAGAGTAATTTAGAATTCGGATAATAACTTGGTCCTCTTGTGTAATTTATCCTTGAAATCCACACTTGATCGAAACTACAACCACCGTTAAGATGTCGCTCATCGATTAAAACTAGCAAAACCATGAGAGAGCTTTCAATGATGCAGCATATTCATTTTATTAAAATACTAACAACAACCGCTGTTTAGAAGTCAACAGCTTCAAAGGACTAAATTCATTACAAGCTTGCCATCACCATTTACAGGGCTAAAACCAAAACAATCAAACAACAACAAAAACAAGAGAATAATGAAGGAACGGAACGGAGATCCGAATAAAAAGGATCGGTTTCGAAAAGGAACTCACGGTCCAGCCCCGGCTTTGGCGCGATACAGCTTGCCGAAGACGTGGAGAGCCGTGACAAAGCCTATGAAGCAAAGGCTCATGACGAGCACGACGGTAGGGGAGATCTTCAAGCCTGGAGCATCGTCGGTGTAAAATCGGAGCATGTTGCTTCCGGAACCGGAGCCAATTGATCCAGATGCGGAAGTGGAAGAGGAGCCTCCGACAAGCTTGCGGCGACGCATACCGGCTGCAGCAGCAGCGGAGCCACGAGGAGCCATGGTTCCCGGACGAGATGTGGAGGAGGAAGTGGTGGGCTGCGACTGCGAGGAACCTCTTGCCATGGTTTGATACTTTGAGAACAGCTGATTATTTTTTCTCTTCCCTTATAGACTTTCGCTAGGAAGGAGATAAAGAGCCAAAAGAAGAATAGAACTTAGGGGGATAATAAAGCCAAAAGAAGGATGAGTTAATTGCAGAGGGTAAAAGGGTAATAAGCCTAATGATCAGGGTTGTTCTACAGGTTGCTCGGGAAGGATCGAGCACTCAGCCGAATACAACCTAGCCTATTAATATGTAAATTATAATATCATATGTTAATTTATTTTTTTAAATCATACTATAAAATACATGTTTGGTTTAAAAAAATTAAAATGTAGATTCTATAAAAACAAAATGTTAAAAAAATTAAATATGTGATTTTATTTCAATATTTAATTAATTTATTGAACATTAAATCGTAACTATAATTTCTTTCAATAAATAATTAATTACATTAAATATCTTCAAACTACAACACAATTTTTGAGTTATAGCAACAAATTGCAAAACCTGTTGAATAAATTCTTAAAGTTAGAGCCGGTCAGTCTTCCCTTGATTTTCACCTCAATATTTATATTTATCTTTTGCTTCTCTCTTAACTTTAGTTGGATTTGAACCATCACCAATGGTTGGTTAAAGAGCTCCTTGAGTTCAAATAACTACATCTAGGAGCTCAAATAACTACATCTATAAGGTATAGATACATTATCAATTGTTAAAAAATGATTATAAACAATTACTACCTTTATAATCACCCCACTATTAAAAAAAACTTTTCTCGTTGGTATTAGAATATATAATAATTGATGCATTCTCTATTTGAAAATATGTGAGATTTTTTATTTTCATATTGTAAAAAAAACACTTATGATAGGCAATCACAATAATGATACTGAAGAGGCAGGTTATTGTGCTAATGAACCTAGAGTTAATGCTGGACCAGCAAAAGCAATAAAATGAATTAATAAAAAAGGCGTCTCTCTATGAATTTGAGTGAATTTACAAAGGCAACCAAAAAAGGCCAAATGGGTCGGATTCTTGCGTGTTCACTTCAGGATGGGTAATTTTCCCCCAACTGCATATATCCAATTCCAATTTAACTGTACAGCTTTAATCAAAATCAAAAAGGACATTCTCATCTGTGATTTAACTCTAGGGTAAAAAGCCAGCTTGTCTATAACGACTACCACTAGAATTATAAGCTGAGCTTTCAACACTTACAGATATGAAGACCTCAAGCTCGATTCTGATCTCGGTAAAGTTGTTAACACAGCTGTCCTGGCTCTCTTTTTTCAATGGTGGTGTTTTCTTTTCAAAAATTTTACTTTCATGCTTTAACTGAAATGGCCACGGGTGATCACCAAATTTATCCATAAATTTAAGCAAATGCAATTACTCGGTGTCTGAGCCTATAGAAAGATATAATCTCGGTCGAACCGACCTTTTTTGCCGAGGAAATAAGAAAGGGCTCTCTGTTATTTGCCTACTTGACTTCCCATGTCTATTGTCGTTCATACCAAGCAACAGAGAACCTGCAGAAGAAAATGCTTGAAACTTGATAAGAAAAGAACGAGTAGAGGTAGGAAATACTAAGGTGTGCTAATGTCATCTACGAGTGTTATATAATCTATTTTGTTGGCAGTGACATGAAAAATTTAAACAAAAGCTTACAATATTTTTTTTTCCGAAAACAGCAAGGAAACTAACCGGTGTCTGTAGAACACTCTTTGGAAGGTATCTGCTGCCTTGAATTCAATCCATTAGTTGTTGTGTCCCCATGGCCGCCAGTTGCACCACCTCCAAGCCTAAGTGAGATCCAGTCGTCAGTACGGATGCCATTCGATACATCAGCTTCATCTCTCAAATCAGACGGTGCTGATGCACCTGAAGGACAGGTTGGAAGAAATATCTGAAGCGAGGGATCTTCTCCACCAAAGAAGGCATTGTCCACCAAGCCATCATGTATATTTGTATCAGCCTGGCCAATGGAAGAACCAGGGACTAGGGGTGGAGATCCCATTGTTGTCTCGGGAGCCAATGTATAACCGTTCAGTGTCAAAGGGCAATTGAGCGAATTACGATGCAGATCAATTAAGGCATCTGAGACATCCGTATCTGTACTAAATAGTTGAAACCCTGAGCCATCTTGATTTCCCGGAGGTAATGACCAAAGATGCATGTCAAATTCATCATTGGGAGTAAAAAGACCCAAATTACCAGCAGGCCCAAGAGATGGATCTTCTGAATATGGTTGAGAAATTTCAGGAGGTGCCACTGGAAAACTAAGTCCACCAGCGTCATTTTGATAATCCTTATAGGCGTTTGTAGGAGATATCAATATTTCATTTTCTTCATCTGAATCACTAAGAACAATAACATCTGCATTTACTGCTGGTGCAGATTGGTTCCGATTAGAAAATTCATATCCTGAATCAATGTTCAGAGGCACAGAATCAAGTTCAATTCCATTGCTTGTAAAGTCATAAGTTCCACCAGCATCCTGATTTACACTGGGATCCTCACCATCCTTACCACTTTCAGTAGCACTGCTACTCATTGGGATAAGTTTCTGGTCATGATGTTCAGGCCTTTCATGTAATCTACTAGCAGAAGGGGTGTTTATGTCTTCAGGATTGTTAACATGCCAGTACCCATTGTGATTCCGGATTCCGAGTTTCAAATCTGCATGCCCTTCTGAACTACCTTCAAGTTTGATCTGCTTCAAAGTTTCAGCTTTCGACTTATCCTCCACACAGCCAGATTCACATAGGGTACCATCAGGAGAGTGCCACTGTGCAAGATCACCAAGTTCCCTACTCTCATTTTCACTTTTAGCCTTTGCACGCCAAGAACCATCAGGCTTGACCTCAATCTCTGTAATATCTTCTCCACAATTTCTCATCTGTACGACAGTTTGATCATCATTATCCCACACATTGACATCATGAAGATAACTATAGAACAGGAGGGTACACACCTTGGATGTGATGCGATTAAAATAAGGGTCGATTATAACATTCTCCAATGAATAGTTCTTCAGGCAAATTGGGCACTGCCACTGCAATCATACAAATGCTTGTCAAAAGCCTGAAAGAATTACAAATGATAACAAACATGTTAATATTGTTCCTTGCCTTCCTAGAACGTTGGTTAAGCTCCACAAAAACTTCAAGATCAAAACAACCCATGTGAACACAGGGCTTAAACCTTCCAGCCAGCTTCATTCTGGAGCCACTCATCTGTCACAGAAAAGCACAAAAAATGAATATCTCAAATAACTAGAGCAACTGCAAAAGGAGAACACAGTAAAGTAGTCCATTCAAATCCATTGGCACTGAACAATTGTAGGGGAGGATAGGTGGGAGAATCATCACTCCTTGGAATGAAGTGGACCAGTAAAAAAGAAAAAAAAACGTAAAACCAGTAAAAAAAACTATTTTTTGTGAATTTTACTATTATTACTACTACTGTTTTTTGTAAGAGATTTATAACTCATCATATATTAAGCCAAATACAAAATTTTGTCAACTAATAACTTATACTTTATATTTATTTAATAACAAAATCATACATTCAATGATAATTTTTTTTAATTTAACAATAAGTTCAACAGGTTAAACCAGAGGTATCACAATTTAACCTCCATTCCAGCTTTCACTCATTAATGACAATGCATAAGCTCATCGATATAGCATGCAGTACTTTTTTATAAATAAGTACATCTTAGTGACCATGCATGATAGCCTCAACCAACATTAAAACTACAAACCCAAATACACACACAACAAAGCAAGAAGCCTCAGCTATTTGACATTCTATAGCAACTATGCTGAGAAGTGATACATCAAGAACTGGAACCAGCAATTTTGCAAGCCACAATAACCATCCATCCTAGACATACTTCACAAGATAAATTAATTAATACTTGAAAAATGATGCCCACTCAGTTTACATGTAATATCTCTAGCATAAATCGTGCAAATCTGCAAAAATACAGGCAAAATTGCTAGCATCCTATAAAACAATGCAACTCACAGGGCACCGTAGGTTGACTCCAAAAAAATCTGCAACAACTTCTAGGTCGCTATCACCATTGTCTGTTGCAGTTCCACCACCAACACAACGACGAACACGAGAAAGAGCGTCTTCCAGATGTTCACCATCATTCTCCTTGGGAATCATGTTGAGTATCTAGGCCAGTGATAAAATAAGAGAGCAAATTTCAGTTGCATTCCCATGTAGAGGTTCACAGTTTAGAACCAAACAATAAAATATGAAAGCCCAAAATTTGATCTTTTATGTTTCCCCCTTATCTCTTCTTTATTTCTAGATAAATTATCTACTATAACCTCTCAATCTGTGCCAGCTCCAGCATCTTCCTTAATCTTTAAGACTACAGCCAAGATAAAGCACTGTTCATCTTTTTCTCAGTTTCCACAATTGATAGTAAAGTGTTATTGTCTGTTATATAGTATCAAGATTTTTAAAATAATTGAAGAAGCCAAAGGGAGGAAAAACGGGAAAAATGCTTTGTTCAGGTCACTGATTTAATCTCAGTCTCATTTTACTTGGATCTCATATCCATTTCAATGTAATGCTGACACAGGCACCTCACCCAAAATGCAAGGAAAATAACTATTAGGTGATCAAATATCTAATTTATAGTGATTTGGGTCAGAAGCATGAGATATATATTGAATGCAGTAGTACGAAGATAACATGGTCAATTATGACGGCACTAAATATATTTACATTCTATTTTGCCTTATTAATAAACTAATCAACACTGCCAAAATCAATCAAAGAACTAGGGCTGTAAACGAGACGAGCCAAATCGCGAGCTACTCGATATCGACTCGATCAAAACTCAATAAGTACTCGACTCGAATGGACTCGAGCTCGAGAGCCGAAACGAGCTACTTCATACTCAACTTGAAAAGCTCGTGAGCTACTCGAAAAAATAATATATTTAAGATTCAGGTTCGAGTTCCAGTTTGAGTTTTAATCGGGTTAAATTTAAGATTTTTTTATTTCGAGCTTTTATGAGCTTTTTCGAGCTTCAATTCATGGTTTCGAGTTCGAGTCGAGCTTAAAA